GTTTGTACATGTGTGTGTGTTTGTACATGTGTGTGTATGTGTGTATTTGTATATGTGACCCTCCCAAGTATCAGTTGATAAAAAGCTGAGCTTTGCAGTTTGGATATGCGGTAATCTTGGATTTGATAAGCTTATTCAACACTGTTGCATTTTAAAAATTTTTAGCACCAGAATGATGGAAAGATCTGGGTGTGTGTTTGTGTATGTGTTTGTGTGTGTTTATGTATGTGTGTTTGTGTGTGTCTGTGTGTGTGTGCTTGTGTATGTGTATCTTTGTGTATGTGTGTGTTTTTGTGTATGTGTGTGTGTTTGTGTATGTGTGTGTGTGTTTGTGTATGTGTGTGTGTTTGTGTATGTGTGTGTGTTTTTGTGTGCGTGTTGTGTTGTGTACATGTTTGTGTTGTGTGTGTGCTCGTATGATTCAGTGTTCCAATTTTAGATTTAATCACTTTATTGAGAAAGCATCTAAAATTATTACTAAAATCGCTCAAAGTCTCGGGAGATGTATTTTTGCTCATCATGCGACAAGTTTTTTTCTCTGGGGCATATCAAATCCCAAAAATCGGCAAGCATATCGACCAATTATAGAGGTATCGGTTGTCCCACTGGCGCACTCGAATCAACGAGCTTCAACACAACAGTAGTGCTAGATACCGTTTTGGCACTGCCGCTAGCCAAAGCGGTTTATTCAAAAAAAAAAAAAAAAAAACGGAACTATTTATTATATTGACATCCAGTGCTTGTGAAAACACTACATCTGGAAGCGATCGTTTTCTTTAAAAATGTTCTTTTTTTTAAAAGTACGCAGTGTTCCTTCAGCATTTTTGCATTAGGCTTCTGCCAGCTTTGCTTTTTTTTAAAAAAACAGAATTAATGTTAATTTGTTCCTATTATTTTGGACGCTTTTTTCTTCATCATTCTTTTTTTTTGACTTAATGGACCGAAACATTCCTGTACATCAATTTTTTTTTTTTTTGTGATAGGATTTTATATAATGATGATTCCGAATAGGAGACTTTAATGATTCCCGCTCCTACCCGTACGCTTAATTCGGTCTGTGTTTGCAGCTAAGGGATGAAATACAGACTGCATCGTAAAATGTCCTCTTATACATGACACCTAAGTCCAATCCTTTTATTCTAATATTCATACTATTTTATATATACGCACATATACATTTGTACATATGTTCACGTATATCATAATTAATGTTTCTATTGTGCATAGTACATTCGAGTGCCACGGAGCGAACTCGAAAGATGAAGGTTAACAAGTTGGATGCAGTATTTTACGTATTCATTTTGTTGAACATGAATGTGTAAAGTTCCGTATGAGCCTGAATTTATTCGTGTTGGTATTGAAATCACATTCCAACGGAGCAACGAACTGAGCGATTTGAGGGCGAGATAAAAAGCAGAAAAAAGTGGCGACAGCAAAAGTAATAAACAAGTTTGATGCATATCCACAGTATCCTGGCAGCTGCTTCCCGTGTTTTTGATTTCGGTCAAATTTTTCTCCCTCTTTTCATCCTTGGTTACATGGATTTGCTGGAAACCTTTTGAGGCAGAATGTATTTTATACAGTTTGGCGGGGCTCAGCCCGACTCATTACGCTCGGCCTTTTTGGAGTTGTTTTTGCATTTAGCGCAACCCGTTCTCATCTGTCCTATCAGTTCACTTGCGAACACTTCCTTCTTATCATATATGCAGATTGCAAAAACACGTGTTGGGAAGAGGCACTTTTTGTCACCCACTTTGAACTCGAGAACCAGGAAAGCTAGTAAGCTGAAACTTTAGGAGTATGTGCCCGTACCATGCGCGACTTTCCCGTTTTAATTTCATCTCCTCGGTCACCTAGGTGTCGCATACAGACACTTTAAAAAAAATATGCAAATTTTTTGGCGGGAAAGCGGTCCCGGAAACCACACGAGCTAAGGGGCTGAAACTTTGTAGGGATATTCCCTGCGCATGTACTAGCTAAAGTTTTCAAATTCACCCCTCAGGTTTGCGTGGTACTCACGTAAGGGCGTATGAAAATTTTAAGGAGAAAATTGCTAACTCGGGTACCAGGGAAGCTAGAAAATTCAAATTTTGGGGGAATGTTCCCTATCTAAGTACAACTCAAGTATTTCAAATTCAGCCCCAAACTATGCACGGTACTCGCGTAAGGGCGTATGAAAGTTTCTGCAGGAAAATTACTAACTCGGCAACCAGTTGAGCT